ATACATGACTATGATTAATAGGTTGATAGAATTATTCTAATATTCTTTTAGTAATCTAATTATGTTACATAGTATTTTCTCGATCATTTTTATTTATTCGCTATACTAAAAATAATTGTCTAATAATACTTATTTAATCTAAAAATCAAGAGATTATTAATTATTTTAAGGTGTGTGTCAGGTAAATAGCTAGTGGACAATAATTATTGAAATTTGAACATAGGAAGTAGTTTTTTGTAAAAGTAAAGATCATTGGTACCATCATGAAGGGATGAATGAATATATAAGATTTTGTTCATATATTTAATTAAAAATTTCAAATTCAAATTAAAAGACTGGAAAATAATCATAATTAAGACGCATTTCGCTTTTAATAAGTTAGTCATCCTTTTGGATATTATTGTGTAGATATTTGTGTTAGGCAAAAGTTCAAAAGTATGAATTATTAAAAAGAAGATAGTGAAAGATCTTGACATGAAATATTAGCATTGAACATGTAGGGTTATGAAAAAAATATGGATTCTGTCGGTGAGGAAAAACAAAACTAATATATACTCTGTTTACGATTGAGACAATTTTGAAAAATTTAAATTTTATCATGCATAATGGAGGAATCGAAATATTCATATACTATATATTTTTAAAAAATAAATAATTGATTAATCGTACAAAGTACCTTAAAATAGGAAGGGACGGAGCAGGAAAAATGTCGATATATTCATACAATTTGAATAATTTATAAAATTAAATATCAATATTATTGATCAATTAAAAAATTGTCGTGTACCACAATATTATTAACAAATTTATAAAAAAATTCAATAAATTTTATTTATATTTTACTAAATAAAAATTCATAAACTTTAAATATTAAATTTATCTCTGATTTATAACTAGGGAATTTGTAACTAGGGAATGATTGATATATTTATCTCATTAATTACATCTAATAGATAAAGGACCCCACAAAAACTACCTCAACATTAATTTGGTCCTATCTAATAAGTCTATCATATGAGCTATCATAAAAGTTATAAATTCAATAAATTTAATACGTTGATCTAAATTTTATATTTATATTTAATAAAAAAATATTTTAATTGAATTCACTTCAACAGTGCAACTAAATTTATTTTACAGTACGACTCCTATAATCAATGATCCCATGTCTTCTTGTCTGGTTAGTTCATCCCTCCAATAATTTTTGAATCCACGTCAAAAATTAATTAAATAGCTCGACTTGAAGCAATATGTAGCTTTAGCCTTTAATTTAATTAGGACCACCTAGAGTTATTATACGATAGATATGATAGCTTATATTCGATTAAATATTTTAAATTTTAAATATGAAATATTATGATAAAGTATAACTTTAAGTATAGCCAGGAGTAGAGTCAGATAAGATCAAGAAGTTATTAAAAAAAAAAATTTTGACAAAAAATGACATTGTCTGTAAATAAGTAATTTTTTTATAAATGTTGAACCCCGATGATTTTTGAATAATAATAATAATAATTGAATCCACAACTAAATATTTATGAATACTTACTAGTTAGTTTTCTAATTAAAACCTAGGGTCTACATAAGTTACTTTTTCCGTTCAGAATTATTTGTCATGTTACGCTTATCGAAAGTCAATTTGACTCATTTTCAAAGATAAATTGGATCACATTAATTCGATATTTTTTTTAAAAAATAGATATTCTAAAACTATATGAAAAGTACTATAAATTACAATTTTTTGCATATTAATATGATGAAAAAATATATCTTAAAATGTTAATCAAAGTTTTTATAATTTGACTCTAAAAATAGAAACCATGAAAATAATAATGGACGGAGGGAGTACTGTGTTTACATTACTAATATATATAACTAATGCATTAGATCTAAGTAATTTTTAAAAATAAATAGTGTTAGAGTCAAAATTATTAATTTTGATGATTCAGATCATAAATAATATATCCATGCATCCCTAATAAATTGTTTTCCACTAGCTTTAAGCAGAATCCAAAGAAATTTAAGTCTAGTTTTATATAAAAAGTCAAATTCAATTATCGAATATGATATTATTATTATAAAACTTATTATCTTTGAATTTTTTTAAATTGCAGCTGTGGTGGGAAATGGATTCTTAGCTAGAGGCATTACGTTTGAGAACTATGCCGGACCAAGCAAGCACCAAGCGGTGGCGCTGCGGAGCGGCTCCGACCTATCGGCGTTCTACCAATGTAGCTTTATTGCCTATCAAGACACCCTCTACGTCCACTCACTTCGACAATTCTATCGCGATTGCGATGTCTATGGGACGGTTGACTTCATTTTTGGTAACATTATAGTTATCTCGTTTAAATATTTTAGTTGTTATACAATATTTAATAAATTTACTAAAAATATTTATAAGTCAAAATTTTCAGTTTAACCTGCTCTCTTTCTTGGCCATTAAGTTAATACCTCAGATGGTCATATATTTAAATATGTTATCTTGTCATTAAGTTAATACCTCAGATGGTCATATATCCAAATATGTTATCTTATATAAACTTTTCTCTCATACATTCTTTTATATATAATTGATTACTTATTTTTGCTAATAGAGATACGTAGATTCACTACAAAAATATTGTGAATTACATAGGAATTAGTACAAAAATTTATATTAATTCTCAAATAAAATTTCCATTTAATTCACAGTTTTCCTGTAGTGATCGAGTCATCAAACAAGGTTAACTTCTCTTTCAATATATTAGTATGTTATTAGCTTCTATACGAGACATCTGATTACTTCGATCCTAACAGTTTCTTCAAACAGGTAATGCAGCTGTTGTTCTCCAGAATTGTAACTTGTATGCTCGTAAACCTAACCCGAATCAGAAGAACATGTTCACGGCACAAGGAAGAGAAGATCCAAATCAAAACACTGGAATTTCAATCTTGAATTGTAAAGTGGAAGCTGCATCGGATTTAGTTCCTGTTGTATCGTCATTCAAAAATTACTTAGGACGACCATGGAAACAATATTCAAGAACTGTAATTCTCATATCCAATATTGGAAGCTTAATTGATCCTGCTGGTTGGTTAGAATGGAGTGGTGATTTTGCATTGAACACACTTTATTATGGAGAGTATTTGAACCGGGGACCCGGTTCAAATACTAGTGCTAGAGTAAAATGGCCCGGTTATCGGGTCATTAATAGCTCTAGTGAGGCCAGTCAATTCACTGTTGGAAATTTTATTCAAGGGAGTGAGTGGATACCTGCTACCGGGGTGCCATTTTATTCTGGTTTGACTTCCTCTTGAATACATTATTTTAAATCAGCGACCGCTGAGGGTTTATCTTATAGGGTATTTATTAATATAATTTTTATCAAAAATATCAACAACTTATGGGGTATTTATTAATATATATACCTTGGAGATAACAACCACAATAGTTACTAGTCTGGTTCATTGCTTGCATATGTTCATGTGTTAAGATTTTTCTTAGCATATGTTGTTTTAGCTTGTTTTCCTATTGAGAATATATATATATATATATATATATATATTATAATATTTCTTTTTGTGAGAAATTTGATGTCAGAGCTTCATTTCTTGAGGAATTGTTAATGTCAATGAATGTAGTGCCAATATAAGTTTGATCTTTATCATGAATAAATTTTGAATGTATTTATTTATATAACTATATTCCCTCTGTCCATTTTTATTTATTGTGTTGCGTTTTTCGTAAGTTAATTTTGGCTAATTTTTAAAGTTGAATTAAATTATATTAATTTAATATTTTAAATAAAATTTAGATATTCAAAAACTATGCGAAGAGTACTATAAATTGCAATTTTTATATATTAATATGATGAAAAAATACATTATAAAATGTTTGTCAAAATTTTTGTAAATTATATTATGTTGTAACCTATATTCAAGGCAATCTATTTGTATTTCCAACATAAATATAACTTTTCTTTGTGCCAATATTGATTTTTTACATACTCCTGCTAACATATTTTGTTCAAGTCTATTTTTTCTATGTTCTAACTCTTGCTCTAATTCAGTTATCTTTTCTATTAGTCTTTGTCTATGTTCTATTTCTTTATCCATTTATATTTTTCTGTACAAAATTTTTAAAAGTTTACTTAATTTGCTTGGATCTTTAATAAATTTTATCTTATAAATATTATTACTTCATTTTTGCCAAATTTCAAACCTTTTTGGTTCAATCATGCTTTTATAATTCTAATTCTATTTCATCATATAGATCTATATCATCTGGTATGATTAATTCTGCCCAACTTTGGGTTGTTTCTTCTATTATCTCTAATATTAATAATTTTTCATAAATTATTCTCTTTATGTCAGAATCAAGGTCTTTTAATAAATAAAGTACTAATATCGTGTAATTAACATCATCATTTAACAAATAGGTATTCATTGGAATGGAGAAGATAACTATGTCCCAGACGTACAGCTGGAATGAACTAAGAAGAAGAAAATAAAAGAAAAAATAGACATAAAGATATATGTACAAATTAGTCAATTTGTATAGTTTTGCGCTTTTAAGTCATGTAAATTGTCGGCCAAGAAGGCCGTTATTATTTTTTTTTAAAAAATTATGTGTCCTATTCATGAATAGTTGAGGACAAAAAGTCACATTCATGAATAGTAGGAGTCAAGTTACTGTGTAAATAGTAAAGGTTAGTAACTGTGTATATAGTAAAGGCCAATCGTCTTTTAGTAAGGATGAAAGGTCATTAGGAACGTGTATATAAGTGGCATTTGCCTTTGTAAATAAATCATCAATCACTAACCATTCATACATCTCTCTTATCTTACAATTCTGCAATATAGTGTGTGTCCTATTCATGAATAGTTGAAGACAAAAAGTCACATTCATGAATAGTAGGAGTCAAGTTACTGTGTAAATAGTAAAGGTTAGTAACTGTGTAAATAGTAAAGGTTAGTAACTGTGTAAATAGTAAAGGTCAATCGTCTTTTGGTAAGGATGAAAGGTCATTAGGAACTTGTATATAAGTGGCATTTGCCTTTGTAAATAAATCATCAATCACTAACCATCCATACATCTCTCTTATCTTACAATTCTGCAATATAGTCGATCACCCCCCCCCCCCTCCCCCAAATTGGTATCAGAGCGGCCTTCTTGGCCGACAATTTACATGACTCAAAAAAGCAAAACTATACAAATTGACTAATTTGTACATATATCTTTATGTCTATTTTTTCTTTTATTTTCTTCTTCTTAGTTCATTCCAGCTGTACGTCTGGGACATAGTTATCTTCTCCATTGCATTTTGAACATATATGTTCCTGATACTTATGTCCAATCAGTTTGCAATATCTGGTTAATAATTCTTTCAAAATAAATCCTTGCTTCAAAGCTCTAGTTGTTGGTGGTAATTCTGGCTTTAACAAAGATAATATCCATCTCTGTACTTTTGCCATATCTGTTGTCCTAACTTCTTTGGAATTTGCATATATCGTTAAATGATCTCTGGAATAATAACTCCAACTAGCAATTCCTTGTAGATAATTTGTAGCTAGTTCTTGGATTATAGTTGATAGCCCAATTGTTCTTTTATTTGCATAAAAAATAGGTATCTCAACTTTAGGTATTTCTGGCTGTGCCGATATATCCTCTGGTATTATCATTTCCCGTGTCAATCCCATTTTGACAACTTGGATAGTTGGTTTTATTTCGTCAAAAAGTATTTCTGCTGGTGCTGTATAAAATTTTATAAAAAATAGGTTGCCTTTTGTAATTCTTTTGTATGTTAAAAAGGTTTTGTGGATCTCAGGAATTCCACTTATTTCTGTACCATCATATGTATATACCGTACTAAGTAGTCCATAACTGTAACAAGTTCTAACCAAGTTTGGGTTAGTTTTAGGTTGTGCGATTAGTTTATTGTAGCCTTGCAAATGTTGGGTTACATAATCCTTTGTTTTTTCTGTAGTGGTAGTAGATCTTGGCTTGAGGTTTAAAAAAGTTTGGATTGTATATATGTTTTTGATATATGATTGGGTAATATGGTTATATATCTTCTTTTCTCTGTTTAGGCTTTCTGCGTAGGTAGAAGTTTGTGGACTTGGTGTTATATCTATAATTTGTTTTCTGTGAATGAATGGTTTTTCAAATAGATTGTTTAAATTGATATTTTTTCCCTTACTTGTACTTGCTTCATTTGTACCTGCAGTTGATAATTTGTTAGTATTTTGAGTTTTTAGGTGTTTCTCAACGTCACCTTTTAGTTCTGACCTTTTATCGTCTGCCGGACGACGTAGCTCCGCATATTTAGAGTCATGCTGCTGACCATTATATGCTTTCTTCAATAGTTGCACTTCACTGTCAAGACTTTCCACTTTTTGGCAAAGTGTAGTTATGGCAGCTAGTATTTTTTCTTGTATATTTGGACTAGTTTCCTCGTGAGAGGTAATCTGCAATAATATTTTTGTCAGTTTTTATCACTTCAATTGTAAATGTAAAGTTTAATATATTTAATACTAATCTCCTTATTTCTTTTGTTGTAACTGAGTCTGTTACCTTTTTAGTTATCCACCATTTTACTTGTGTATTATCTGTTCTCACAATAAATTTGTTATAAACAATATATGGTTCAAATGTTAATAAACATTTATATAATGCGAATAATTCTTTTCTATTTACTTTCCATTTCATTTGTGCTTCTGCATAAGATCCTGAATAATATCTGCAATGGTATTCTATTTTTTCTTTTTCATATTTATATTTTAAAACTCCTCCATAACTATGATTACTTGAATCTGTTTCAACAATATAAGTAAATGATCTATTTTCAACATAACTATGATTACTTGAATCGTTAACTCTAAAAAAAGAAATCATAACAAATATAAGTAGACGGAGGGGATATAATATTGTCTGGAATTCTTAAGATCAAAATGAACGTGTTGGTGGACAATTGTCATCGAGTTGTTGGGGTGTCACATACCCTAGTACTAGATTTAGGTTAGAACCTTAAGAATGGAAAATTTTCTATAAACCAACTTTATATTTGAATTTGGGTTAAATTCAAGATGTAATTTGACATAATAATAAAGTTATACCCGATCCACCTAAGATTTGCGGGGGTAAAAGTACCCTTGACCCACAAACGCACACGCACTAGACCAAGCATTAAAACTTCATATAAAAATATATGGATTTAAGCTGACAGGGTAATGAATGGTATGAATCCCACGTAAGTTACTTAAAGACAAGAACTATGAGCTATCCTCCTCCTTTTTTGAGTGTGAATTAGATATATGTCACAAAAGTTGTTGTGACTGTTAAACAAATGAAGTTTAGATTATGATATTTAAGTCCATTAGGTATTTGAGTTGTTAATTTTAGTATTTACTTTCCTAGTCCTTAACAATAGTTATTTTATTTACTTTCCTAGTCCTTAACAATAGTTATTTTATTTATTTTCCAGTCCTATATTTTGTTTTGGAATGAGGACAACTGTCATACTATTGTACTGATCCTAAAAGATTATATATCCTTGTATTACTTTGAGGAAGACATTCAGAAAATTATCAAAACTTCTTTCTTCTTCTTTCCTTTTCTCTTACTGCTTATTCTTAGTCTTAGTAGCAAGAATCACCTCTTGTTACAATGGTATCAGAGCCTCCTGGTCCTTCAACACTTACCGTAATGGAGTTGCCTTTAGAGCTGCCAAGCTTGCAAGACGATATCCGCATGGTGCGCAGTCAACTGTCGATTTTTGTAGAGGATGTGGGCAAACATTTCGAAACCCTCGAACTGAATCAATCCCAGTTTCAGGTTCAGTTGGGTGAGATTTGTGAGACGAACAAGAAGCTTGAGTACATCATTTCGAATATGGCGTTGCAGAACAGTCCGAGCTCTCCCCTCACCACCCCGCCTGATTTGACTCCACGAGCAACACCAACAGGGGCCCATGAAACTCGGGTTCGGTTGGAGATTGGCCAAACTTCGACCAGAAAATCACCAATCGTAAGTTCTTCACCTGAAATTGTAGGTTCTCAACCTCCATTTACCCCATCTATTTTTGAAGTAGGTCGGAGTTTCTCTTTTCCTCCAGCTCCCATTTTCTCTAGTCCTCCCTTATTCAGGAATCCCATGTATTCCTCAGCCCCTACTATACTTCCCACCCCGATTATGCACACAGCGTCCACAGCCCAGCACAGGACAGTTAAACCAAAAATTAATTTCCCTGAATTTGATGGTTGTAATCCCAGAAGTTGGCTCAGAAAGTGTGAAAAGTTTTTTGAACTGTACAACATTTCAGAACATGAAAAACTTGGGTATGCTTCTGTACATTTGAGGGATCGAGTGGATATCTGGTTTGATAGTTACATTGTCAATCAGAGAGAGAGGATGAACTGGCAGAGATTCTGCACGGAAGTGTGTAGAAGGTTTGGGAATATAAGACCCCAAGATATCGTAGATGAATTTAATAAACTGATGCAAGTGGGTTACTGTAGATCAGTATCAAGAGAAGTTTGAAGAACTTACCAGTTATATGACTGTTATTAATCTACTCTTGAATGAAACTCATTATGTAGCTAGTTTTATCAGTGGCCTTAGACCTGAATTAAAGCAATTGGTGAAGTTAGCTAACCCTAACAGTTTTAGATGCTTATGAAGTAGCCAAACTGTATGAAGAGTCATTCAAGACCTTGATTCCCTTTGTCCCTAATAGACAACCTCAAACCACCAACCAAAGACCCTTCGCCATCACATATCCCAGAAATCCTCAAAACCCTCTAAATAGACCAGCTGTCGGAATCCACAATCATCAACAACCATTGAGAATAACCTATCCAAACCATAAAACACAAGGTCGAGCTCCTTTCAAACCAAATACTTTACCACAACACCTTGAGGCATTAAGGGAGAAAGAGTTTTGTTACAAATGCAAGGAGAAATATCACCCGGGTCATCAGTGCAAACAAAGAGCATTACATGCTATGGAAGGTGAGGAAATGGAAGGAGAAGGAGATCAACTTAAAGAGTTTGTAGATGTCCCTGAGACACTAGAGGAAGAAGTAGAAGAACAAGCTGAAGTGTCTCTCAATGCCTTGCTAGGCTTGAGTTCTGCCAGTAGCAATGTGTCTACTATTAAAATCATAGGCCATACCAAGAAACTACCTATTGTAATTTTAATTGATAGTGGATCTACCCACTCCTTTATTGATCCCCACATTGTGAAAATATTAAGATTACCGGTAGAACCCTTGAGGAAGCCTATGAGGATATTAGTAGCTAATGGTGAGCTAATGAGCTGTCAATTTATGAGTTTTGGCTGGAAAATGCAAGATGAATAGTTCAATTTTCAGCTTAAACTAATGAAAGTGGGAGGCTGTGACATGATCTTAGGAATGGACTGGATAGATATGGTGGCACCAGTCATTTTGCATACCAGGCCCCATAGCCTAAGCTTCATGACTGATGGAAGAATGATAACTTTGTATGGTGTTACTGAGGAGTCTGAATTTACTGCAGTAAACAGTGAAACACTAAAGAGGATGTTACAATCTGGTACTTGTGAAGTAGTAGCTGAGTTAGCTATGATACAAGAAGAGAAGGCGACAAAAGAGCAAAAAGCGGTACATCCCGAAATCAGCAAATTACTTGAACAACATGTAAGTATTTTCCAGGATCCTAAGGAATTACCCCCAAGAAGAACTTGTGATCATATTATTAACCTAGTTCCAAGTGCTCAACCTTTTAATCTTAGACCCAACAGGTACTCATATGATCAAAAGAATGTTATTGAGTCTATTATCAATGATATGCTTCACTGTTGTACCAAGCCATTCACCTTTTGCTTCCCCTGCTCTATTGGTTAAGAAAAAGGATTCTACATGATTACATGAGGTTAAACAACTTAACTGTAAAGAAGAAGTACCCGATTCCCATGATTGATGATCTTTTAAATGAATTGTTTGGGGTAGTGGTGTTTTCCAAGATTGATCTTAGAGCGGGGTATCATCAAGTAAGAATGAGGAGTGGTGAAGAATACAAGACTGCATTAAGAACTCACCATGGCCTATGGGAGTTCAGAGTTATGCCATTCAGATTGACTACTGCTCTGGCCACATTTCAGTCTTTAATGAATGTGGTGTTCAAAGACCAGCTGAGGAAGTTTATATTGGTATTCTTTGATGATATACTAATATATAGTAAGAACATGGAAGAGCACATACGTCATCTAGAGGTTGTGTTGAGGCTACTAAAGGCAAATAATCTCTTTGCTAAGCTCAGCAAATGTGATTTTGGACAACCTCAAGTAGAATACTTGGGACATATCATCCCTAGAAATAGTGTAAGTACTGATCACTCCAAGGTTGCTGCTACGATTGACTGGCCACGCCCCAGAACTATTAAAGAACTAAGAGGTTTTCTAGGGTTAACAGGATACTACAGGAAGTTTATCAGGGGGTATGCACAACTGAGCAAGCCTTTAACAAATTTACTGAAGAAAGGAGAATTTAAATGGAATACGGAAGCTGACAGAGCATTTTATCAAATAAAATTAGCTATGTCTAGCGCTCCAGTGTTAGCACTTCCTGACTTCAGTAAACCATTCATATCAGAGGTGGATGCATGCAACAATGGAGTTGGAGCTGTATTGATGCAGGATAAGAGACCCTTGGCATTCATGAGTCAATCATTGAGCAAAAAACATCAGGTACTATCTACTTATGAAAAGGAACTAATTGCTCTTCTACAAGCTGTAGACAACTGGAGACATTATCTTCTTCCTCACCACTTCATTATTAAAACTGACCATTTTAGTTTGAAGTTTCTACAGGAGCAAAAGATAACAACATCATTGCAGCACAAAGGCTTAACCAAGTTGATGGGGTTAAGCTTTGAAATTCACTACAAGAAAGGAGTTGAGAATGTAGTGGCGGATGCTTTGTCAAGGAAGGTGGATCACCAGACTGAAATTATGTCTTGACAGTGCTTACTAATATCTCAATTGCAACCCAAATGGATTGAAGAGATACTACATAGTTATGAAGGTGATCAAGAAGTACTAAATGCAATCACAACTTTAAGTATTAATGTCGGGAATGATCCAGACAATTCCATACAACAAGGAATACTGAGACATAAAGGGAAGGCATGGATAGGGAATAATGGAGTTTTGAGACAAGAGTTGGTGTCCACAATACACAACTCTGGGTTGGGAGGACATTCTGGAGTTTGGGCAACCTATCAGAGGCTAAAGGCAATCTTCTATTGGCCTACTATGATAGAGCAGGTGAAAGTGGTGGTTCAAGAATGTGACATTTGCCAAAGGTACAAGGATGAACAAGTACTATATCTGGGGTTATTACAACCCCTTCCAGTACCTGATGGAATGTGGGAACACATATCAATGGACTTCATAGAAGGATTACCAAAATCAGAACGGTAAGACACTATTCTGGTAATAGTTGATAGGTAC